AAACATTTATTTGTGCCATCCAGGATCTCAATCTCCAGAGGCCTCATAGACCAAAATATGTCTCAAAAGGAAGGGAGGAAAACTCTATGTATTTATCAATTTATTTATCAAACTCTGGCAAGGGAGGAAAAAGTTGAGTATATGTATATACTCTGCTTTTCACTTGTACTGCTATTGCCTATGTGTGCATCTGTTAATATCATATATAGCAATTCATGTGAAGATTTTTTTCCAGTGAGACTTACTTATTCTAGTATTGGGACTCTGTATTAAATAATAATTTTTTAAAAAGAGTGCTCTAACTAATGTTAAGGTGGAAATTCTAGACCCCTCAAGCAAAAATTTCCAAATAGGACCCCTTATCATTTAATTGTGAAATAAACAACTAACACTTTGATGGTATTTATGCTTGGGAAGAGAGTAAAAAGAAATAGTTTTGGATTTTCCCCATATAAATTAGGGCCTGCCGAGTAATTAGCAGTTAATAAATGAATGCTTCCTACAAGTTTAAAGGCCATACCTGAAATGGGTATATGATGATGTATATTTTTATAGTTGTAGGTTTTATATATCCCAAGAATCTTTGAAGATAATCTGAACATCTTGGTTTGAAGAGCAGAACTTTCAATAAGAAGGTAAAGGGCTAATATTGTTTGAGCACTTACTATGTGGCAAGCACTATTCTAAGATGATTACACAGATTATTTTATTTAATCCTCACCACAGTCTTCTGTGGTAGGTACTAGTATTGCCCAATTTTATAGAAAAGGGCAGAGAGATAAGGTAATTATTATATAAAGTCATACAGTCAGTAAATGACAGAGCTAGAAATCAAATCCAGGTTCAGTTGGTCAAGAGCCCATGTTCTTAACCATTGCAGTAAAAATTATTATGCTGTTTTAATCTATAGAGTCAGCATATAGCAATATTAATATAATCATTGACATGTTACCTTTTGCATATATTGAATGTTTTCTAAAGAAGTAGTTTATTATCAGACATATTCTTAGAATCATACCCATTTTATAGCAGGATTGACAGTGTTATAAAGAGATTATGTGATCAACATGGGGTGAGTCAACAGAACCAAGAAGTTTCTGATCCACAGTTGCCTTCACTTGCTAGATTCAAGTAAGGATCATATAGTGTTTACTTACATTTGCCATAGATTTTTCAGTATAGCATGATGAAATTCTAAATGCTTATTTCAGACAGTGATACTCTCTGAGCAAGACATGGACGATTGGGCATTAGAGTGAATTTTAGGACACTAGATCATAGGTACATGTTAGAAAACTTAATCCTCATCTTGTTATGGAACTCATGGCAAAGCCAAAGAGGAAAAGCCTGTCTTAAATGCTTTTCCTTTTCCAAGAGGGCAGCTAAGGTGCCCAGATATCTTTGCCCTCCAGGGATGCAGGTGTGCTGTTTTTATTCTTTAATCATTCACGTAAATTAAAGCCTATTCCTTTGCATTAAAAAAAAATGTAAAACGACACTCTCCATGTTTTATTGCCAGGAAAGAGCTTTGAACTTCTGTCTCATTGAAGTTTGATAAACTAAGGATTTTCCAGTGTTGGGTGGTACCCTTAACCACAGAGGGAACATTAGACTGATAAGAGCTGCAGGTGAAGGAAACCACCAGGGCACAGCAATTAGGGAGAGCTTTGCATTTGGCTGTTGGCTAGTGTAAAACTCTCTCCAGAGAGGAACTTTTCTTCTTAGCTTCTTCCCTTCACCCACACATAAAAAGAACACCAGGGCTTTCTGTTTCTACTTTGTGAACTAGGAATGGATGGGATGGTTCTTTTCAAGAAACTTTGAAATTAAGGGACAAGTTCTAACTTCACACCGTGCTGATTGGTATGAAGGTGAGGGGACAGGACAGACAGACATACACACACATATAAATTCACATGGACCCAAATGGACCGTATCTCTCGGGTGATTTTACTATTAACATACATTCCTGCCTTTGTGCACTGTGTAAAATAAAGATAATTTTTAAAGTGTTAATGGTGAGGCAGTGTGTTAAGAGAATGGGTTTTTGGTATCAGGTAAACCTTGGTTCAAATCTTGGCTTCTCTTCCCACTAGCTGTGTAAATTATTTTAATTTTGTAAGTTTCAGTTCTTCCACTTGTAAAAATAGAAGTCTAAGAATAACTATTATAGTATTGTATTTGGAACAAATAGAATAAAGCATGTGAAACAATTAGTACAATACTGTGTCTGTCACATTGTTGTTTAATAAATTGTACAAGTACTCAAAAATGGTAGCTGTTATTATTTGTAATAGGAAACTAAATATCTGATTGGCAGATAAATGTTAAACATGCATGGTCCAATATATTTCTTTCTTTTCTTTTTTATATTTTTGGTATAAAGTCTATTTTCCAGAAAATTCCTCTTTTTTTTTTTCTTCTAGAAGGACAAAAGTACTTTGATTTTTACTGCTCTGAAAATATTTCTCCTGTAAAGGGCTTTCACATTAACTTTGAGTCCCTGGAGCTAGGGAGGAGGAGAAGCAGGATTTGCTTCTAAGTACAGCTCTTTCATTTCTACCATCAAAAAGAAAAAAAAAAAAAATCCTGTACTAGCCTTAGGTAGAGCTAAGTCATAAAAGGCCATATAGCCCAAGGAAGGAATCTTTTTGTAAGATCAGGATAAACCCATAGAAGAAAGGAAGGAGAACACAGAGGTGAAAATGCAGCTGATTTTAATGTTTCCCTGGCCATTTTTCCCTCCCAATTTAATATACACCTAATTATAATTATTATATTTTGAAAACAGTGTCAGAAATTGGCAGGTATTATCTTACAGCTTCACTCTCAGTTTTGGCCATTTCTTAAAGAAACAGTTTTCTAGTTGGATGAACTGTTGAGTTGAGGAACTGATTTTGTTTTTACCCCTTTTTGGGTGGAGTTGGGGGTGGGCAGTCAGGGTTTGCAGTGACTGATAGTTGTTAGTTTGGGGAAGCACTCATTTAGATAAAACAAGTCACAGAATGTAAACAGGCCGTCCATCTGGACTTTAGGCTGCTGGGAACGTGGTGAAACCTTAGTCACTGTGATCATTATGATCAAGTGAAGACTCTTGAGCTCAGGTTGGCAGATAAACTTACTTGTTTTATGAGCTTCACTAGACTACTAGGACTTCAGAAATAGTTTTTTGAAACACCAGTATTTATAAATTTTAGGTAATTCCTTCATATTTTCCTGAGGAATGAAACTGTGAAAGAAGTAAATGTCTGCTTTGGCAGCAACTTCATGAAATTGCTTTTTGGAAGGATATTCATCACTTAGGGTTTTTTTTCTCACTGCTCCAGATGAAAGTATTTTTCTGAATTTTTTATGATAAACGGGGACACTGAATTGGAAGCTTCCGTGTAAAGTTTGTCAGGATACCACTGTCATACCTAAGGACAAAATTCAGAGAAGGGGAAGAAGTATTTGAGTATCTGACATCTAAGAAGTTCTGGCCTATGTTGTTTACTGAAGTAAACTCCCAATAACGCCATTTGAGATAGGCTTTTAAGGAAACATTATCAATCACATACTATGCACCAAGCACATAGTGGTGTTTTACCTGTATTATCTTACTTATTTCTATAACCCTATAATGTAAGTACCATTATTACCCCCATTTCACCATGAAGAATAGGCTTGAAGAGTAATTTGTTTATGGTCATGTAGCTAGGAAGCGGCAGAGCTCAGAATGGAGCTCTCAACTCTCTATAGTCCAAAGCCCAAGTTCTTAACCAGTGATTCTTAAACTTAAAAGTACATAAGAAGCACCAGGGGTACTTGTTAAAAATTACTGGGCTCTAGTAAGAAATTTAAGGTCACTAAATCTGGGACAGTGCCAGACTATAAAGCTGTATTTTAAACAGGGCATCCCAGGGGATTCAGATCAAGAAATTGATTGACCATATTTTGAGAAACATAGTTAAATTATATTGCTTTCCACGCTTGATAAAGAAGAAAACAGGTGCAGGCTAAGTAACTATCCAAGATTAAGCTACCAAGACAGAGCCATGATTCAAACTCAGGTCTGTCTCACTCTAATACTCATAGTTTTTATTATACGCCCATGATTAACTCACACATTTCCAAGTCACAACAAATGCAGAAAACATGACATCTAATAAACCGAGCCAGACAGATTTCATGGTCTTGTTATTTACCAAAGTTAATAACTTACATACACACCAGTATTAAAATTTTCATGGTCCTTAAACTTTTTTTTTTTTTTTTTAATTAACTCAGTTTTCTTTTTTTTCTTTTTTGAGATGAAGTCTGACTCTGTCGCCCAGGCTGGAGTGCAATGGCATGATCTCGGCTCACTGCAACCTCCACCTCCCAGGTTCAAGCGATTCCCCTCCCACAGCTTCCTGAGTAGCTGGGATTACAGGCATATGCCACTGCGTCTGGCTAATTTTTGTATTAGTAGAGACAGGTTTTCACCATGTTGCCAAGCTGGTCTGGAACTCCTGACCTCAAGTGATCTGCCTGCCTCAGCCTCCCAAAGTGCTGGGATTACAGGCGTGAGCCACTGTGCCTGGCCAGAGTTTTCTTTACAATCATACCATCCATGCTTCAAGCATGAAATTACAAACTCTCTGGATAAGTTTCTGATGCAGAAGTGGAAAAGAATAGGAGGTAGAAAGAAAAGAACTTCCAGGTGTATCTGCTGAATGGTGCTAAATCTCCTCTTCAACCCACCCTTGTCATTGAAATGAAGAATAAAGGGTTGATGCTAATACTAACAGCCAGTCAAATGGCAATAGGTCATGTTCACATCATCTCTCAATCTATCCTTTGAGACTATAGCTCAGTTAGGGTCAGCAAGTTTGCTTTGCCTATTCCAGTCCACTGATGAAGTGTCATCAGACAGAGCCAACACTTGAATTGCCTTACACATGACCTCCTACTAGGATTGGGATCATTCTTTTTTTAATCTTTCTCTCATTTTCTCTTTCTCTCTTGCTATTTGATTACAGCTCAGCGACATGTCCTCACCTACATGGAGGATGCAGTGTGCCAGCTGCTAGAGAACAGGGAAGATATCAGCCAATATGGAATTGCCAGGTTCTTCACTGAATAGTAAGTACATGAATGTCGTACTAATACAGTCAACCCAGAGGAGGCGCTTGGAAGCAGGCAGGACACTTGAGGAACAGAGTGGGACAATGCTGATTATGTAGTGGCAGTGAATGTTTAGTTTTGGTAGGTTGGTTGTGGGCCGCCCAAACATGTTTTGGATCATGCCTTTGGTGCAGCTAGTTTTGTCCAGCGATGTCTCATGAATGGTTTTGATTACAGTAGCTTAACAGCCGCTTGTTTGATCTATTAGATCTGTTTCTTTAGGTTCGTCTTTTAACTTTCTCCTTTATTCAAAATATTCACTTTGATTTCCTTTAGCTGGTGTTCATCTAGCCTGTTTTTTTCATGGCTGGCTTTTCTCATGGAATTGTTTAGGCTAATGCTCCTTGCAGTTTTCTTTCTACAGGATGCTGTGCCAATCACTTAATGATTTAAGAGTATTTCTAATCAGCAAAATGAAGAGACAACCCACAGAATGGGAGAAAATATTTGCAAACTACCCATCTGACAAGGGATCAATAACCAGAATATATAAGGAGCTCAAACATCCCTATAGGAAAACATCCAATAATCCCATCAAAAAACGGACAAAAGATGTGCATAGACATTTCTCAAAACAAGACATACAAATGGCAAACAGGCATAAGCAAAAGTGGTCAACATCATTGATCATCAGAGAAATGAAAATCAAAACTACAATGAGATAACATCTCACCCCAGTTATAATGGCTTATATCCTAAAGACAGGCAATAACAAATGCTGGCGAGGATGTGGAGAAAGGGAACACTTCTACACTGTTGATGGGGATGTAAATTAGTATAACCACTATGGAGAACAGTTTGGAGGTTCCTCAAAAAAGGAATAGGGCTGCCGTAAGATCCAGCAGTTCTGTTGCTGGGTATATAACTAAAAGAAAGGAAATTAGTATATCGAATAAATATCAGTACTCCTATGTTTGTTGCAGCACTGTTTAGAGTACTAAGATTTGGAAGCAATCTAAGTGTCCATTAACAGATGAATGGGTAAAGAAAATGTGGTACATATACACAATGGAGTATTATTCGGCCCTAAAAGAGAATGAGATCCTGTCATTTACAACAAAATGAATAGAACTGAAGATCATTATGTTAAGTGAAATAAACCAGACACAGAAAGACAAACATTGGATGTTCTCACTTATTTGTGGGATCTAAAAATCAAAACAATTAAACTCATGGACAAAGAGAATAGAAGGATGGTTACCAGAGGTTGGGAAGGGTAGTGGGGAGCTGGGGGAAGAGGTGGGGATGGTTGATGGGTACAAAAAAAAAAATAGAAAGAATGGATAAGACATGCTATTTGATAGCACAACAGGGTGACTATAGTCAGTGATAACTTAATTGTTCATTTTAAAATAACTCAAAGAGTTGGCCAGGTGCGGTGACTCATGCCTGTAATCCCAGCACTTTTGGAGGTCGAGGCGGGTGGATCATGAGGTCAGGAGATTGAGACCATCCTGGCTAACACAGTGAAACCCTGTATCTACTAAAAATACAAAAAATTAGCTGGGTGTGATGGTGGGCGCCTGTAGTCCCAGCTACTTGGGAGGCTCAGGCAGGAGAATGGCGTGAACCCGGGAGGTGCAGCTTGCAGTGAGCTGAGACCGCGCCACTGCACTCCAACCTGGGCGACAGAGTGAGACTCCGTCTCAAAAAAAAAAGAGTATATTTAGATTGTTTGTAACACAAAGGATAAATGCTTGATGGGGTGGATACTCTATTCTCCATGATGTAACTATTTAACATTGCATGTCTGTATCAAAACATCTCATGTGCCCCCAAAATATATACACCTACTATGCACCCATGAAAATTAGAACTTAAAAAATTTTTTAAAGAAATATTTCTAGAGGGAGGATATCTTTCATAGATTATATATTTGAAAGGTCATACTTAGGCCAGGCGAGGTGGCTCACGCCTGTAATCCCAACACTTTGGCAGGCTGAGGAGGGCAGATCATGAGGTCAGGAGTAGGAGACCAGCCTGACCAACATGGTGAAACCCTATCTGTACTAAAAATACAAAAATCAGCTGGGCATGGTGGCACGCACCTGTAATCCCAGCTACTTGGGAGGCTGAGGCAGGAGAATCTCTTGAACCCGGTAGGCAGTGGTAGCAGTGAGCCAAGATGGTGCCACTGTACTCCAGCCTGGCCGACAGAGAGACACTCTGTCTCAAAAAAAAAAAGAAGGTCATACTTCTTTGTAAAGTATGCTTAGAATGTATAAAAGTCAAAATGATTACTACCTTTTTTATTTTTTTGAGATAGAATTTTACTCTGTTGTTCAGGCTGGAGTGCAGTGGCATCATCATGGCTCATTGTATCCTTGAACTCCTGGGCTCAAGGAATTCTTCTGCCTCAGCCTCCCTAGTAGCTGGGCCTACAGGTATGTGCTGTCATGCCCAGCTAATTTTAAAGTTTTTCTTTTGTAAGGACAGTGTTTCAGTATGTTGACCAGGCTGGTTTTGAACTCCAGGACTCAAGTAATCCTCTCGCCTTGGCCTCTTGAAGTGTTGGGATTGTAGCCATGAGCCACCATGCCCAACTGATTACCACTTTTTGAATATCACAGAACTGTTTTTAGGCTGAATGAGATAAACACTTTAAAAATACATTAATCTTCTTTTTTTCCAACTTTTATTTTAGATACAGGGAATACATGTGCAGGTTTGTTACATGGGTACATTGCACCCAGGTAGTGAGCGTAGTACCCAATAGATAGTTTTTGACCCATTACCCTCCTCCCTCCTTCCCTCTAGCAGTCCACAGTGTCTGTTGCTCCCATGTTCATGTCCATGAATGCTCAATGTTTAGCTCCCACTTATAAGTGAGAACATGTGGTATTTGGTTTTCTGTTCCTACATTAATTCACTTAGGATTATAGCCTCTAGCTCCATCCATGTTGCTGCAAAGGACATGATTTCATTCTTTTTTTTATGTCTGCATAGTACTCCATGGTATATATGTACCATATTTTCTTTATCCAATTAACCTTGATGGGCACCTAGGTTGACTCCATGTCTTTGCTATTGTGAATAGTGCAGCAATGAATGTATGAGTGCGTGGGGAGAATGATGTATTTTCCTTTGGCGTACCCACAAATGAATGGGATTGCCGAGTCTAATGGTAGCTCTGTTTTAAGTTCTCTGAGAAATCTCCAAACTGATTTCCACAGTAGCTGAACTAATTTACATTCCCACCAACAGTGTGTAAGCATCCTCTTTTCTTAGCAGCCTTGCCAGCATCTGTTTTTTTTTTTTTTTTTTCCCCTGACTTTTTAATAATAGTCATTCTGACTGGCATGAGATGGTATCTCATTGTGGTTTTGATTTGCATTTCTCTGATGATGAGTGCTAATGTCTCTGATGATGAGTGATAATGAGCATTTTTTCATATGTTTCTTGGCCACTTATGTATCGTCTTTTGAGAAAGTGTCTCTTCATGTCCTTTGACCATTTTAAAATGGGGTTATTTGATTTTTGCTTCTTGATTTAAGTCCCTTACAGATTCTGGATATTAGACCTTTGTTGGATGCATAATTTGTAAATGTTTTTTCCCGTTCTGTAGGTTGTCTATTGATAGTTACTTTTGCTGTGCAGAAGCTTTTTAGTTTAATTAGGTCCCACTTGTCAATTTTTGTTTTTGTTGCAATTGCTTTTGGGGACTTTGCCAAGAATTATTTGCCAAGGCTGATGTTGAGAAGGATATTTCCTAGGTTTTCTGCTAGGATTTTTATAGTTTGAGGTCTTACATTTAAATCTTTAATCTATCTTGAGTTAATTTTTGTATATAGTGAAAGGTAAGGGTCCAGTGTCATTCTTCTGCATATGGCTCACCAGTTATCCCAGCACCATTTATTAAACAGGGAGTCCTTTCCCCATTGCTTGTTTTTGTCAGCCTTGTCAAAGATAAGATTGTTTTAAGTGTATACTTTATTTTTGAGTATTCTATTCTTTCCATTGGTCTACGTGTCTGTTTTTGTATAGTACCGTGCAAAACATAATCTTCATGAAAGGATGTGCTAGATAAATACAAAGCATTATTTTTATTACCAACATGCCGTCACATATTTATATAATCATTTGGATTCTCTTTCCTTTTCCTCTGGTTTATTGGGAACATTCTAAGAAAGGAATAATAATCCTTATAGGCTTCTGTTTAAGTGAATCTTGAACTCAAGTTCATCTTCCTTGAACATAGATTTTTTTTTTCCTTTCTGTTCTCCAGAGGCTCCTTGGAGATCAGACAGCTATTCAAATGGCCTCAACTTGGGTTGCTGTTAGGGGAATACTTGAGATTCCCTAGCTCTTTTGCTGAACTCTAAAGTTCTTATCAATGAAATCTAGATTTTTTATGGATTGGCATTTTAGGTTCCTTGGAAAAAGAAGCTTTCTGGGAGTAAAGTTGTTCCTTTCACCCAGTCTTCTAAAGGAGGATGAAGTAGAGAAAGGAATTTTACTTGTTCTCGTGATGCGGGCTGGAGCAAATGAGGTAGGCAGGGAATAAAGGCTGAGATTGAATAGCCTTGCTCGCTTTTATAGAACTGACAAGCGAACTGACAAGCCTACAGGTCAAGTTTCTAGGCCATTTAATCTGTACCAGCACTCTTGAGGCTCCTTGCCAAGTGAAATATGACTCTTCTGGGGGTAATGCTTCTTTCTGGCTTTTTTCATTTTACTCCCCTCCCCATCTCTGTTATCAGTCTTTTCCCTATTACACTGGTTCCTTGAAGGTAGGCTTTTTTTTTTTTCTTTTAGGCAGAGTCTCCCTCTGTTGCCCAGGCTAGAGTGCAGTGGTGCAGTCTTGGCTCACTGCAACCTCTATCTCCCGGGTTCAAGAGATTCTCCCGCCTCAGCCTCCTGTGTAACTGGGATTACAGGCGCCCGCCACCATACCCAGCTAATTTTTGTATTTTTAGTAGAGATGGGGTTTCACCATGTTAGCCAGGCTGGTCTCGAAC